AAAACTAAGCATTTTGCCTGTGCTTGTTCGAAGTGTTTTATGATTTTAGTTCTTATGTTTGGGTCCTTCATCCACTTTGAGTGAGTTTTCATATTAACCCCGCGTGAACCTCAGAACAATGACACCCAGTGGAAGCAGCCCTGGGAGCACAGAGGGCCTGTCAGCCCGCCCCTGGGATGCAGCTCTGTCCTGAGTGTCACTGTGGGTGGGACTGACCGCCAGTGCCCACAGCAGCCTCCTGGTGTTTGGGCCACAGAAGCTTTTCCAGCCTGGGAGGCGTTTGCTCACTAGTCTTTTCTCATTCTGTTCTGCTTCAAAAGTAGCCATTTTCGACAGACCTTGTCTATTTCTCAAAATACCTTGCCAAAGGCAATCTGTTGGGATTCGCCCACTGCATCTCCTGAGCTTATTAGATGGAACAGCCCCTTTCAGGGTTCCTGTTTCCTTGTCAGCTAAGGTTTGGTTGGATGCCAAAGCCACTCCAGATGTGCCACACAGAGGAAGTGAGAGGCTCACAAAACTGTTCTCAGGGTGAGGGTGGACAGGCAGAGCCAGGAGAGCCAGCGGCAGCTTTTCAGAAAGAGGGGAATTCACGAATTAGAGGCCCTGTGCTGAGGAGCTGGGCCATCTGTGGCATCAGAGGGTGGTTTTCAGACCTGCCAAGTCCCGAGCCTGTGGCCTTGGCCACTCTCCTGACCTCTGCGCCCTTTGCTTCCTGACTGGTGGCGGTCCTGCGCTCTCACTGTGGACAGGCGTTCTGGCAGGGATGACTCCAGGCTTTCAACCCCAGGTGTAAGGAGGCACACAGGCTGGGGGGAGTGGGGCTTGGTACCAGCACATCGGCCCTTCTGTCTGTCCGAAAGCAAAAGGAACGCTAAGCATTGGGCAGGTGGATCCTAAGGCTCGTGTGATGGTCTGATGCACAGTGAGCAGTCCAGTCATGTCAGCACACTGGGATCTGTAAGGTTGGTTTCTTTGTATCACACTTCATTTTGTACAATTTCCAGTTTTCCTAGATTCCTTTTTGTACGTTCCCTGTTCCTGTTATTGTGGTTGTTTGCCATTGTTTCTCTTCCCTTTGAGACTTGTCACATCAGCATATGAAGGTCCTTGACTAGGTAAAAGCTCTGCTCTGTCTTCCCCGTGAAGGTTGGCACTACTCTGAGAGCCAGCTCTGTCCCCGTCAGGTTTTCAAGGCCTTCCAGCCTGAGGGGCTCCTCTTTCAAGCACAGCACCAGGTGGTGGCACAAAGATACTTAGTCTGTCTTGGACCAGAAGCTCTGCTGCGCCTGTCCCTCTGAGGGACTCTGCTCCCGGCGTTTGAAGTATCAGTAGCACAACTTCCAGGGTCACAGCAACCCACACAAGCTACCGCAGGATGGTACTCTGATAAGACAGTGTTGAACGATACAGGAAGGAGCAAAAGAAGGTGGAAGGAGCACACAGCATCACTGTGCCAAAAAGAATTGAACCTCTCAAACGCTGAACCATTTCAGAAAGTAGTCATACTGAATGAAGTCCAAGCTGCACTGAAGGCATTGGCAAAAAATAAGTCCCCAGGAATTGATGGAATACCATTTGGAATGTTTCCGCAAACGTATGCAGCCCTGAACTTGCTCACTGTCTCTGCCAGTGGCCTTCAAGAGATCCATATTTGTTCCTGTTTTCAAGAAGGGTGATCTAACAGAATGTGGAAACTATCAAACACTACCATTGATACCACACAGAAGCAAAATCTTGAAGAAGGGTTTTTATTTTAAATGTCTAGAACAGTACATTGACACGGAACTGCCAGAAATTCAAGCTAGATTCAGAATACACTGTGGGATATGGGATCTCACTGCTGATGTTAGGTGGGGAGAATATCAGAAAGATATTTACGAATTCATGTGCTTGTGTGGATCATAATAAATGATATATAATATTGAGAAGAGTGGAAAGTCCCAAACCTTACATGTCCCTGTGTGAAACCTGTACACAGACCAAGAAGAAGTTGTCTGAACAAGAAAAGGGAACACTGCATGGTTAAAATCAGCAAAGATGTGCATTAGAATTGTATCCTTTCTCCGTATCTGTTCCATTTGGATGCTGAGTAAACACTTTGAGAAGCTATACTGTATAGCAGAAAAGTACCGCGTTCTATATGAAGAAGGATCCTCCTCAGGTTTGGAGGAAGACTCATGAGCAACTTGCATTATGCAGGTGACACGCTTTGTTTACTGAAAGGGAAGAAGATTTGAAGCACTTACTGCAGAAACTAAAGACTGTACCCTTCACCATAGATTACATCTCAATGTCAAGAAAACCAAAGTCCTCACCACCGGGCCAACAAGCTGCATCATGATAGATGGAAGAATTAGTGAAGTTGTCAGTGATTCCATGTCACTTGGATCCACCACAGGTCCTGATTTTCACAACTATTATTGTCTATCCTGTTCCTAATGCTGATAATAAGGGAGCTCTGGTGGCAGAGAGGTAAGGAGCTGTGGTGTCACCCCGAGTGGCACAGATCCACTCACTGCTCCACAGGAGAAAGATGGACACTCTCTTGTGAGTATTAGCCTCTGAAAACCCACTTGAGGGCCAGCTGTGAGTTAGAACCAGCCGGACAGTGTATAACAACACTAGTACTGATCATACTACTAATAATCTCTTACATTGTGTATTGCTTTCTATTTACAAAGTGCCTTCATGTTACCCTTTTTTGATCCTCATAATAATCCTCCTGACCAGGCAAGACGAGTACTATTGTACTATTTTTCATAATTTAAACAAACATCTTCCAGTGCTTCAAGAGACAACATAATATACCAGAGGAAAAATAAGCTTTGCTATCCAGCACAGATGGCTTCTGATCCTACTTCTGACCACTTAAATTTAACCCATGGTAAAATTTACCCATAGCAGCAGTCAAGAAACCAAAAGATATGTTCCATCAGACAAAGCTGTTTTTAAAGACCTCTTTGTGTGGTGTGTGAATGAAGACTTTATTCCATTCTTTAAACTTGGACAGCATGGAAAGTATATAAATAGCTCAAAATTCTTGCAATAAAGACAATGCTAGTTTTTATTAAATGGCTTTACCATAGCATTAAGGGTTTTTAAATTAAAAAAATTATTTTATATTTGTTTGCTTACAAAGTTCATGTACATTGTGTTTCACACTATCCTTCATTCACATTGTATGTCATATACTCATTTCCATTCATTATATTTTATAAAATTAGTCAGCATTGAACTATGCCCACCATTGCCCTGTCTTTCACATCCTCACTGGATCTTTCCCATTTCCTTTTTCTACCAGTCTCTCTACCCATGGAATTGAGTGGCCCTGTGACTTCCCCCTGCCCATCTTCACCCTTCTGCTCCCACCCTCCCCCCTTGGATCGTCATACACGTTTTGCAAGTTTTCTTTCTATTTTAACAATAATGGTCTTATACGGTATTTGTACTTAAGGGGCTTGAGTTTGTTCACTCCACATTGATACTCTCCAGTCCCCATCACCCCCGCCAAGTTATGTAGCAATTTTTTAAGTCATTGCTCCTGTGTGCTGCATAATATTCCATTGTGTAAGTACTCCATAATTTCTCAATCCGTTCCATTGTAGTTGGAAATGTGCATGGCATGTTTCCATGTATTTGTGTTGGTGAATAATATTGTTGTGACATTGGTGTACAAGTCTCCATTTCTAGTGTCTCAGTTCTAGTTTTCTCGGGGTATATTCCAAGCAGTGGAATAGCTAGGTCATATGGAATTTCTTTGCTCAGCTTTTTGAGGAAATGCCAAATTACCTTCTGGAGTGGTTGGACCATTTTGCAATCTCACCAACAATGTGTAAGAGTGCCTATCTCTCTGCATATTCTCCAGTGATTATTACTTGCTATCCTGTTAAGCTTTGCCACTGATACTGGGGTGAGGTGTTTAGCTCCCTGTAGTTTTTTTTTAAATTTTTTTTTAGCTCCCTGTAGTTTTGATTTGCATCTCTTTTATTGTCTGTGATTTTGGGGACTTTGTCTCTTTGCCATCTGATTGTAAAGACCTCTTTAACTTGTCCAAGACCACAGATATTAAGGTGTGCCTCAGCCAAACAGTATTTTCATTTGCTTTGTATGTATGTTAAAGTTGGCTGGTGAATAAGGAAGACTAAAGAAGAATTGATGCTTTTGACATGTGATGTTGGAAAGGAGTGTTGAATATTCCCTGAACTGCCAAAACAGCAAACAAAAATCTGTCTTGGAGGAAATGCACCCAGAGTGCTCTTCATAGTCAAGGATGTTTAAACTTTATCTTGCTTATTTTGAACATGCTGTTAGGAGGAGGTAGTCCTTGGAAAAAAGATTTCATACTGGAAAAGTAGCAAGTCAGTAAAAAGAGGAAGAGCCTCAACAAGATGGATTGATTTGGTGACTGCAGCTGTCAGCTTTTGCATGGAGGAGCTGGTGAGGCTGGTGCAGGGAGAGTGAGGTTTCTGTCCCGATGAACATCTAGGGCCATGTTTACAAGGTTGCTACAAATTGTAACGGACTCAGCCTAACAACAGCCATCCTTAATGTCCAGTGGTCATGACTGATAAGAGCTTTCTATCTCAGTGATTCTAAGTCACATCTGATGTAAGTCGAATACCTTTTTGAAATTTTTCATTATTATTGACTTTTTAAAACTTATTATTAATTTCAATAAAAATTTACAGAGACTTTGGGTATTACTGACTTTTATTATTCCTATCTTTATAAACCCACTATTGGAATAACTTAAGAATTAAGAAGAATAATATCAGAAAAGTATGCACTGTAGCATCGTACACAGAACCTATTACTAGGAATAAGATATACAAAACCAAGATAACGTATGTGCAATTTATCCTAACTCGAATACACCTTCAGTCAGGGTCTGCCTGCATTGCTGTTAAGTTATGTTACAGATAGATAGTTTGGTTTCTGAAAGTGAATGCCAAGTCTCTCCTTAAATAACATTTTCTGTGTGGTTGTCCTGTTTTTAGATTATAGAACAATTGGGAAAATAGGAGAGGGAACGTTTTCTGAAGTTATGAAGATGCAGAGCCTGAGAGATGGAAGGTACTACGCGTGTAAGCAGATGAAGCAGTGCTTCAGCAGGTAGGTGGCCAGCGGCAGCTTTGCACGGCACGTACTGCACGACGCTGGGCTCAGACCAGCCAGGGGCAAAGTGGTGTTCACCAGCCATGGCCAGGAGGCACCCAGATTTCTCTGGTGAGTGAAGGTTACAAGCTGATGTACTTAGCAGGCTGGAATTTGCTTCTGTGTCGCTTTGACACATGCCCTAAAATACGAATGTTATTACAGAGGTTAGTGCGGCCCCTTCACAGAGGCGGCTTGCGAATTCCTGAAGCATTCCTTATTTTTAGATTGTGAGGTAGGCACAGGATAAGATAGGGCTTAAATCTTTGTTCATAGAGTCACTTTGAGTTGTATTCAACCCTATAGCACCTAACAACAACATACAGCTTTAAAGAGACTGAGCATGAGTGTTGGTTCTCGCATACTTCTCTGGAGGGCCCCTGCACTTTTCCCACAGAGCGGTCTGCTAAAGTGGGAATTTGTCTGTGTAGTAATGAGGCCACGCTGGCTGTGATTGGAGAACGTCTTCAGATTAATGAAGTAAATGCTGTTATCTTGTAGCTGTTCAAATTTTCATTAAAAGAGTCAAGGTCCAGTTTGTTTGGATTATTTAATATCAAAGGAATTGAAATCCAAAGCAAGATTTTCAAGAATATTTAGTAGTTTCTCCAATAAGATTGGGTATATTATCAGGTGGGGCCAATTCTTGGAAAGAGGGATGATGCTAGGAAAGGTAGGTGGTCAGGGAAGGAGAGGAAGACTCTCAAATGAGGTGGATTGACGTGGTGACTGTATCGGTGGGTTTAAGCACAGTGGAGATTGTTGAAGGATGTCAGGTTTTCAGTCTGTTGTATGTAGCATCTCTGTGAGTCAGAGTCAAGTCCACGGCACTTAGAGTCAGCAGCCACATTAACATGAAGCCAGTGTTTGGGACGCCCTTCTGCTTGAGCTGTGGCTGCTCCTCCTGAATACCTGTGAAGATAGACCTGGAGACTGAATATGAGGCAGCCAGGGAGGTGAGCGAGGGAGTGGAAAGGAGTTACGCTGCAAACACAAAGGCACACAGTTTGAATCCACCAGCCACTCCCACAGGAGAAGGACGGACAGTCTCCTCCAGTATGAGTCCCTGCCTCTGAAAACCCACTGAAAGGTCAGCTGTGGGTCAGTCTGAGCTCTATGGTTTGCTTCTGTCTCACATAGGGTCGCTGGGAGTCTGAACTGACTCGATGGCAGTTAACAAAAAATGACAATGTCATCATTTTCATTTGGTTTTTTTTAAAAATATGTTCTGGAGCTCTGGTGGCCTTGTGGCAAGAAGCTGCACTGCAGCCCTGAAGGTGTGCAGTTCAAATCCACCAGATGCTCTGCTAGAGAGGGAGGGACAAACTCCTCCTGTGCCAGTTGGATCCAATTTGATAGTACACCAAATTAAAATTACAGAAATAAATATTTAAAAAAGAAAAAATACATTATTTGAAAAGTATTGATTATTAGTTGTAAAACTATTGAGAACTAGAACACCTAGTTTTCTTTTTAAAGTCCATAACTAAAGACATTTAATAAAATATCATTGTGAATCAGAGTTATTATTTAAAACAATATTTTGGGTTTGCATGAGGAAGATTCTTTGCAGGCTTTCATATTGGTTCTTCTGTTTTCTGTGAAAATTTATAGATAGTTATTTTTCCTTAATTGTTTGAAAGCATTCACCAGTGAAATGATCTGAGCCTGGCTCAAGAAAGAGCAAGGTTTTAATCTCTTGTTCATAAGGTCACTGTGAGTCATAGTTGACGTCACCTATAACAACAACAATGATGACAACACATTTTATAGTTTGAATTTCTATTCCACTACAATTTTCCTCAGACTTAATCTTGTCCTGTTTTCTTGAGGCCAAATCCATTTTTTAAAGGAATGATACTTGTGCATTCAGATTTTAAAAAAAGACATTTATTACTTTGGCATACTTATTGTATAAAGTGCTTGGCCCATATTGAATAAATAACAGCAATCTCAAGCCTATTACTACAGAATTGAGTCTGACTCAGGTTGACCCTGTAGGGAGAGTGGAACTGTCCCATAGTGTTTCCAAGGCTGGAATCTTGACAGAGCAGACAGCTACATCTTTCACCCCTGGACCAGCCTGGTGCATTTGAATCACCTGCCTTTTGGCTGGTAGCATAATACCTAAGCCACTATACCACTGAAGCTCCGTTTTATTACTGTTGTGTACACTGCTTGACGTGTATTTGTTCTTGCTGTCAGATGTTGTCAAGTCAGTTTATAACAGCCCAGTTTAACAGGTCTGAACCCTGACCTGGCCTGTGCTGTGCACATCATCTCTGACACACAAGAGCCCATTGCTTCTGTCATTACATCAGTCCATCTCTTATAGATTAAATTGGTTAGATTCATTTGTTTTCTTTATAATCTTACCAGTGAACTGAAATGTGACATTTCATATTAATAATTTTCTATTTCATAGAGACTTAGTCTCATTAATTACGCATTTATCCTAGTTGTAGGGTCTTTGCCTAAGGTGGTTTCCTTGGGTTTTGGGGAGCCGAGACCACCTGCATGCCTCTGGAGTCAGCCCTGTGTTTTTCTGTCTCCACCAACACAGAGAAAAAAGGCTCTGGATATCGCCTGACCACAAAGCTCAGAGCACCTGTGGTCAGGGAACGGGGTTGTGTCTGTGCTTGGAGATGTTTCTTTCTGAATTTGTCCAAGAGGGGACAGGCTTCATGCAAGTCTTATAATGAGCTGCTATGTGAACAAAGGCTTGCAACATCCTGGTCACTTGCCTTTCTAAATGCCTCTCACCTCTTCTGAGTGCCTGCCCGTTGGGGCACAAGGCCTACAATAAGCAGAACATGCAGTAGCTGGTTTCCGTACTAAAGATGAGCACAGTAGCTGTTTGTCTGAGTGGCACAGCTGTTTGATTACCAACTTCTAAAAGCTAAGTTCATCAAATCGGGTACTCAAGTAGTAGAACTGTTGCTAACTCCAAATAGTTTCTTGTTCTTTCCACCTAAAGTATGATTTCTCATTCTCAGCACAGCTCATACTTTGCACCAAATAATTCTTTGTTGTGAGTAGCTGTCTAGTGCATCCCTGGCCTCTGCCCACTGGAGACCACGGTCTCCCCTCCCAGCTTGTGAGCAACAAAACCGCCATCGTGTGTTTCTGATCACCCCTGGGGCAGAATGCCCCCAAGCTGAGAATCACTGACCTGCACTCCATGGGGGCAAGCAACCCGGCGTCGAGTGGCATTGTGGGTGCTTCCACCACCCAGTCCTAAGTCAGGACCCCCTCAAAGTGGGGGCCAAATATTTGCAGTCTTCACGGCCTCTGTACACGACAGAAGCAGATGAAAAGCTCTCTACAGCCGGATGCATAGAATCCTCAGAGGAAGACCTTGCATGAAGTTGTTGTTTTTTTTGCTTTATGGATGCCTTTACTCACCTCTCCACCCCTAACGAAAGACTTTTCTAGCATGTCCTTCAAAGGATGGTCAGGAGCAGTGTGCTCTCTGGAACCCTCATTCTCTGGGATGATAATAGGTTTCTCTTTCTCTCATTGCTGTCACGTCGAAATTGTCTCAGCTGTTTTCCACAGGTTATAAACGGAGTGGGCAGAGGTTGCCTGTCTCTCCCACATAGGAGCTGGCAGATTTGAAGGTGTTTCTGATGAGGAAGGTTTTTTGGGGTTAGCAGGGCGGCTCTCTACAGACTCTGCCTCCAGCATTCCCTAGTAATAGGTGGCGGTGGCGGTGCTGGCGGTGCTGGCGGTGGTGGCGGTGGTGGTGATGGTGGTGGTGGTGGTATGGGCTGTTGAGTCTTCTGCGACTGATAGTGACCCTATGTACAACAGCTCTGAAGCCTGCCCTGGCCTGAGTCAGTCTTACTGACTCAGACACACCTAACCCTGTTGCCCCAGTTACTGTATCAGTGGGCCACAAAATTTGGGGGTAGGGTGTGTTGGTTTAAGCAGGTAAACACCTTCTGTCCATTTTCAGGACTTCTTAGTACCTGCAGCATCTACTCTAAATGTTCACCATGAGACGAGAGTGGGAACATTTCTCACACTTCTTGCATGCGATATTTCTTCACAAAATGTACATTTACCAGAGAAATCATGTTCTCTGGAACCTATTGGGACATATTTTGGGAGCCGCTGTCCAAAAAGTGTTTAGGGGAGGGGAGGGATGGATTCTGAGGGTCCGGGTTCTGGTGAGGAGGGATGGTAGGATGATTTCTAAGCTAAGAGACAAGAGACCTGGCGGCCAGTAGAGGAGCTATATGCGGGTCTCCCACATTTTGCCCATGAGGACTCTTAGACTACGGGAAGACTCGCATTCTTCTTGGTAAGTGAATTTGGCACCCTTACCACCCCCACCCCTTACTGGGCCCTCATCCGGAAGAAAAAGAGAATAGGCTCGATGCAAAATAGAATCAGTGGGAAGATGCTTTTCTAGATCCAAAAAAGACCATGGGCAAGGTCAGTGCCTTCATAGCATCTAAGATGGAAGGTCCAGGTTGAATTAGTCACTGGATTGGAGCGTGTCCTCAGGCCGAGCCCTTGTTCAGTCTGTCGGAAGCAGCAGCCTTAGGCCGAGGCCTCTGTTGCTCTTGTAGTTTGTGTAGTTGTGAAGTGAGTGTGGTATTGGGCAGAGCAGGCTTTGTAAAGATTATGTCCGCAGAGCTGACACCTGCCTAGGGGACACCTGTCACCAGGTGGAAGAAGTATGCTGCCTTCATTGAAAGAGGAGGGTGGGGTCTGCAATGGGACCTGACAATGCTTGTTTTCAGACTAGGGGGCATTTTCTTGGGTGGTGGTCTCCATACACAGATCAGCAGGCACCTTTAGTACCTGGTTCTCTGCTTACTCATGGGAAGAACAACCAGGGTATTCTTTCAGGAGCTAACATGGCAAAAGACATTTAGCATCTGCCCGAAGTTGTAAGAACTTTGATTTTCATATGTTACCACAGAGCTCAGCTATGTTCACCTTCTAATGGGAGAAATAAAATCTGATTAACTTGCCTAAAATATTTGTGGTTTTTCTCAGTTATGCTCATGCCTAATAAGTAGTGATTTGGTAACCCTAATTTTAACATTTGTTCCAATAGTAAATTAGTTATTTATTTTTACCTACATAATAGTATTGAGCAAGTGAACAATCTACGAGAAATACAAGCACTGAGGCGCCTGAACCCACATCCAAATATCCTTACGTTGCATGAAGTTATTTTGTAAGTATATATGGGCTCTGAAGATGATCTGCAGTTAGTGGTGGTGGTTAGAGCTCTTGGAGAAACGTGTCCTGTGAGCCCTCGTCAGAGAGTATTTCATTTCCTCTTCGGTTACATGTTTGTTTGTCTCTCTGGTACCTGACGTGGCAGTCAAGGCCCTGATATAGGTGACTTGGCCTCATGGACACACAAGTGGCTTCTCCCCTAGGATGTCACGGCCCCAAAGCCCACGGCCTTGCATCTGAGCCCGGCTCAGTGAGCAGGCGCTCATGTGAGATGTTTTCAGGGTTGTAACCTCTCCTCCCCACCAGCTGCCATGCCTAAGAGTTCCCTGCAGCCTTTCTCCTGTATGATTTCATTTCTATTCCAATTATAGGACTGTTTGATAAGGCTCACCTTCCACCCTAGAACATAGGCCCAGCCTCTCAAACAGTGCCAGGCTGGAGCCAGACCCCTGGGACAGTCCACACTGCACACTGGCCCTGAGCTGGGTCATGGAGGCCCTGGTTCTGGGGACCTGCTTCCTGTAAGCTAGGATGCCTGAGAGGCTGCTGTATGGGCCTCCCTGCAGCTTTGTTTGGGGCCTGGCCTATAAACCAGCAAGGGAGTCTGCTCTCTGACCAGCCCAAGTACAGGGAGATTTCATCAGAGGATAAACTGTGGTGAAACTCCAAAGGAGAGGTCTGGCCATGACGGTGGCATTCTGGCCTGCAAGTCCTTAGAATCCAGTTCAGGTCCAGGGGCTGCAGTCTGCAGAGTCAAGCTTGCATGTCTTGCACAAGCCTCGAACAGGCCTGAACGCAGGACCTGAAGGCTCCCAGACCAAGATCCTGGAAGGCTCCTTTGAACACAGGAGACCCTGGTTGCTCTGAGAGGCGTGGGCCCAAGTGGGGTGCAGATGGGCCTGGGTGCTTGGATTCCTCTTTTGTCCATGCCTGGTTTTCATAGTTTCCTCCCCACACCTATTGCAGATTGATCCCCATTACATGAGAGCAATTTAGATAAATTAAAATGAAATTTTAGTCTCAGAGAATGAATTACATTTTTTCCTTTTATTGTTTTGCTTAGCCAACTCCCTGATCTAATTTCTTCTTTCAGTTCTATATTTTCAAGGCATAGCTCTTTTTAAAAAAAAAAAGCGCTTTTGGAGTTTTTGCTTAAAACAGGGTTTTACTGTGATTTCAAATTCATATTATCTGACATAGTCCTTTAAAATCTAAACCTCCAATATTTTAATCATTATGCTGCTGGCTTAGTCTTAGGGGCATTATATTTATTGGAAATGTTTATAAATGCATTAGAAAGTTATATTTTCTGATCAAGACAAGAAAAAATTTTAAAACCCACTTTCTTCTTCAGTGACAGAAAATCTGGTTCTCTTGCGCTAATATGTGAACTTATGGACATGAATATTTATGAGCTAATACGAGGTATGTAGAATACTTTGAAAGCTAATCTGAAACCTTTTGTTCAAGCTCGCAGTTCCCACGTGCTCCACGTCAGCTCTCGGGATTGTCTGTCAGTGGAGTAGTTGTGTGTGTAGCTAGCAGTGGCTCTGCTCTGAGGAGCTGCTTTTCTGCGGTCTTCCTCTGTTCAGAACGTGCTGCACATGAGAAGTGTGGAGGCGAGGGGCTGAGAGTGGGAGCTGTGGGGGTCAGAGAGAGACGTGAGAGCCTTGAGGGGGCCCTCGGGGTGGTGGAGGGCTGGGAAGGGCACTGGTATGAGGGGATGCCGAGGGCGGCCTAGATCATGATCTCAGAGGGGCCGCTGCTGACGACCGTGGTATGAGGGGTTGAGAGGACGCTGAATGGCCAGAGGCTGCTGAAGGCAGTGATGGGAGAGGCCAGTAGGGGTGCCAAGGGTGAGTGTGGGTGACAGAGCCAGGGGATGCCGAGGGCAATGGTGTGGGGCACCAGTGGGCTCCCTGAAAGTAGGTGTAGTTTGGTGGCTACTGTCCTAAGGCACTCACATCTGCGACCTCCCTCACCCTCAGGAGTGGACTCTGCCCCCTAGCCTCTCCCACTTTGAGACCACTCTTCTCCTGGATTCGTCTGTTCTCTACCTTATTTTAGATTTTCCCAAAACTCACCCATCAAGACAGTGAATACTCCCACGAGCAGTGAATAAAGGTTCCAGTTTCTCCACAGCCTCACCAGCATTTGTTGTTTGCTGCTCTGTTGAACTTTGCTATTGTTACTGTGGTGGGATGATATCTCATAGTTGTTCTGGTTTGCGTCTCTCTGATAGCTAGGGATTTTGAACATTTCTTCACAAAGTTGAACTGGCAAATTGGATAGTTAGATCTGCTGTGCCTTTGTTAAGTTTCTTTTGAGTAATCTATCCTTTTGTGAAAGCAGTATATTAAAATCTCCTTCCTACCATTCATTAAAAAAAGAGAGAGAGAGCCTTTCTACTAAGATGGCGCCAAAAGCGAAGAAGTAAGCCCTGTCCCTCCCAAAACTGAAGCCAAAGCAAAGGCATTAAAGGCCAAGAAGGCAGTCCTGAAGGGCATCCACAGCCAAAAAGAAGATCCGCACGTCTACCTTCCGGCGGCCTAAGACGCTGAGACTCCGAAGGCAGCCCAAATACCCCAGAAGAGCGCCCCCAGGGGAAACAAGCTTGACCACCAAGCCATCATAAATTTCCCCTGACCACTGAGTCAGCCATGAAGGAGATAGAAGATAACAACACACTTGTGTTCATTGTGGATGTCAGGGCCAACAAACACCAAATTGAACAAGTGTAAAGAAGCTCTGTGACACTGATGTGGCCAAGGTCAACACTTTGATTAGGCCTGTGGAGAGAAGAAGGCCTATGTTCAGCTTGCTCCTGACTATGATGCTTTGGATGTTGCCAACAAAATTGGGATCATCTAAATACAAATTTTCCTCACAAAAAAAAAAAGAGAGAAAGAGAGTGAATAGAGCCTCCATTCACTGGTGTTACAGAATGCTCCTCATTGTGTATTTTGAATGATAAAGCACTATAGGAAAACCATGTTGTCCTGAAACAGCCCTGCCAGGACTGCTGTGGCTTCCGTACCCTGGTTATCTGACGTTAGAAATGGCACACTGTGTCCCTGGGGTCCTGACCTGGGGTCACAAGTGTTAAACATCAGGGCAAGAGAACCTTGTAAGTACCCCTGGAAAAGCAAACCAGGATGCCCTATTTCACAGCGGAAGGGATCCCTATGGGACCAGTGAAACAAGCCACTGCCCTGATGTCATGTCCCTGTCACTCAAGAGTAGAGTTTTGGTGATGGCAGCATAAGTAATGCCCTAACTGGCGTGTTCGCTCAGATTACTTAGGCCACACGGAAGGAGTGCTTGTGGCACCAGTTAGACCAGAAGTTACTCTGGTGGCAGAGAAGACTTGCTTTGCAGATGCATGTGAAGAGTTCAAATTCAGTTGTTCTGAAGTGGAGTGGAAGCTTTATTTAGAAGTTAACTTAATGTGTGATTTAAAATAGTATGTTAATACTAAACTACTACGAGAACAAATGCTATAATTCCAAGGATTTTTTTCTACAGCCATAAAAGTTGGTGTCCATTGGGACAGGCGGACAGATCTTTGGCCTCTTCTCATTGGGAAGTAAAGAGAGAATGTGGTATTTCTTAGTTAGTTGCAATATTTGTGTATTTTCCTTCTAGGCAAGCTTCTCACTCAGGGATTGGTTGTCTTGTTTGAACTTTTAATCCTAACAAAGTTGATGATTTAGTTTCTAAGTCTAAAACCTGTGAAACAGCCATTAATTAGAAGGGACTCTAAAACTTGAAATGCCAGCAGCAGCTGAAAGTGACAGATGGTCGACAGTCTAATGGAGGGGTCTTGATTGAAAAGAGAAAAATTTACTTGAAGGAAATATAAGCAACAAAATGAGAGCAGTCTGGCCAAATAAAGGCCAGCTTCCTGTTGGTGCCCCAGAGAAGGCATTGCCTCGCAGCATAGCTCGGGCTCATGTTTAAGGAAAGTGTTTGGGTTAAAAAAAATATTTAATTTTATTAAATAAATTACTTAATGCTCCAGATCACTGGCAATAAGAGAGATGCAAATCAAAAACCCCAATGAGGTACCATCACACTCCAGTAAGAGTGGCAAAGTTTAACAGGGCAGCAAGTAATAGAAGTTGGAGAGGAAGCGGCAAGAAAGGGACTCTTGCACATTGTTGGTGGGACTGTAAAATGGTGCAACCATTCTGGAAGGCAGTTTGATGCTTCCTCAAAAAACTGAACATAGAAATTCCATATGACCCAGCTATTCCATACTTGGAATATACCCTGAGAATATGAGAACTGAGGCACAAACTGAGATTTGTACCCCAGTGTTCATAGCAGCATTATTTACCATCTCAAGAACATGGAAACAGCCCAGATGTTCATACCATGAAATACTTTGTAGCACGCAGGATCAATAACTTTGTAAATTATTACCTAACTTGAGAGGACTTGGAGAACATTAAGCTGAGTGAACCAACTCAGTCTCATAAGGATAAATATTGTATAAAACCATTGTTGTAGAATGAGTATAAGGATCCAGGAGGGGTGGGAGAGGCTGGAAGCAGAGGGATGTGGATGTGCAGGGGAAAAGGGGGGGGTTAATCATTAGGTTGTACAATTTGATGGGGGGTGAGGGAAATTGAAAGAATTTGTTCAAATTTGTATTTGAATTTTATAAATAAACTAGTAGAAAAAAATGTATGTTTTTAAAAGATTTCCATTGATAATACTCTAGAAAAGGGTTTGTATTCAAAGAATAAAATCCTCATTTTCCCAGAAATCTTTGGTATTAACCATTTAATCCCTAATGTTGTTGTTGTCATTGAGTCACCCCTGGGTCATGGTGACCCCACACTGTATAAAGGAGGTGTTGCTTTGAAACACATATGTCTGACATATGTTCTTCACTTTGATTGCGTGTGTGTGTGTATGTATATCTGTGCACCTAATGGTATCGATACAACCAAGAAAAACAACTCCAAGAAAAACAACTCCTAGGACAGCATCATTTGCATTGTGCTTTTTTACAATATACCAGTGTTTTACTTTTAAAGAATCTATAGTGCTGCAGTCCCGAAGGCACGCAGTTCAAATCCACCAGATGCTCCACTGGGGAAGGAGAGACAGTCTCTTCCTGTGCCAGCCAGATCTGACCGAAGGCACACCAAAAAAGAAAAAATAAGAAGCATCTATAATGTCACTTACTTTGTTTAGCAGCAATTCTTTCAGTGTAAGAGGCATGACTTTCAGTGCAGTTGTTGTTACTAAGTGCCCACTAGAATCCTTGTTTCTAAAAAAAAAAAATCCTTGTTTCTGCTTCCTAAAGTATAATATCTTAACGCTAAAGTGGGAAGAGAGAGAATTTTGGGGAAATGGCTATCTGTTTAGACATTTGTGGACACTATGTTTAGAAATACAGATCTTTGGGTCTGGAGATGTATAGAGCATGGTGGCTCATGTGCCACCGCTTTCTGGTTTGGGTTCCATTACCACTACTGGGTAGAAAGAAAGATCTTTAATTTCTAGTCATAGGAGAATTGGGTGGTTGGAGAAGTGGAACGAATTCCTTTCACTCCTTGCCTACAGAGAGACTGCAGAGAACAGCCTGTAACAGACCAGTGGACATTATTCTGTGCTGACTTCTTCATTCCAGAACTACACAGGGTCTTACAGGCCAGGGGTTGTAAGATGCTGCCAAGGGGGAAGGGCATTCTAGTGTCAGAAATGCTGGAAACAAAAAGAAATGCTGGAAGTATGGCTGGCCGTGATTGTAGGATATAAATATTGCAATGTACATATTGATTTCAGAGTTGCTAACATATGAAAAAAGAAATGTGTCTTAAAGCTGAATGCTAACATTGCATGGGCCAAACTTGCTCAGCATTTCTTAAGCTGAAGGAACTGAACAACATACTCAACCCTCAACATGCAGTATTTAAGGATGCTTTGGGCAGAATATGAAATGATCCAGGAAACATTAAAAAAAGATAGAAGGAGTATACAGAGTCACTGTACCGAAAAAGAATTGGCTGGCCCAGAAGAATTTCATGAAACAACATATGATCAAGAGGCAATGGTGATGAGGAAGTTCAAGCTGCTCAGAAGGAATTGACAAAAGCTAAGCTCCACATCCCAATGAACATATTTCAACAAACAGATACTGCCCTGAACATGCTCACCAGGTTCCAAGAAATCTGGAAGACAGCTACCTGGTCAACTGACTGGAAGAGATCCATATTTATTCCTGCCGCAAAAAAGGTGATCCTGTGCTCTTCCTCCTGAGGCCTACATGCTGCCGTGGCTGCCGCCACCGTGTCTCTAGTGATCCCTGAAAAGTTCCGGCACATTTCATTTTGTGAGTACTCAACACTAACATCGAGGGGCGGCGGAAAATAGCCTTTGCCATCACTGCCTTTAAGGGTGTAGGGTGAAGA